ATTATTCATAAAATATTCATAGGTTTACAGTAAGATTGTAACTATAACTTATCAGAGTACAAGTAAAATATTACTAATTATTTATATATAAAAAATAGCTAGCGTCTATCTGGTTCTTTAAGGCTCAAGTGATCTTAACTTTAAATTCTTAACTCGTTAACTAGCTTATTTTAGTTTTTCATAGCTAACGTGATCAGAATTTCGTAATTTATTAGGATTATCCAGATTAATTAATTCTTGACAGCAAGCATTTCATTTTTTCATTAATATAATTTTTATCGGAAAATGTGTAAGAATTTTGTGATAAAAACATTGATTTAATTCATATTTAAGTCCAGAATATGAGTAGAGAATACAATTAATTTGAGAATTCTTGAATTAATGAAAATTCTGTTATAAAATTAATATCTCATTGGTAATAGAGTTATATAACGTGTTGTGCGGTTCACAAGCATCTGGTGGTAACCGGATCTGCTGACCACACCATACGTGTTTGGACTATAGAAGACGCACAATGTTTGGCCACATTTAGTGGTCACACATCCATCATCAACCATATCGTATGCTCCGGTAAATTCATATTATCCACCAGTTATGACAAAACTGCCAGAGTTTGGTCTATTTATAACCAAAATAATAACAACTTTTGTATTCAAGTCTTAGAGGTATTTATAATTACATTTGTTGCTATCAATCACTAATGGATTGCATTTTAGGGCCACACGAAAGCCGTAACTCAAGTGGCAATCATTACCACCGATGAAGACATGTTGGAGAGCGGAGCCATACACGAGTTGGACCTAATAGTGACCACATCTACAGACACGACAGCCCGCACCTGGTCGTTGCTGACAGGCGAGTGTCACAAAGTGTTGGACGGACACAGGGGTGCCGTCAACTGTGTAGCCCTTGACCCTCACAATAAGAGACATATCTACACGGGAGGGGCCGACTCTGTGATCAAGTGCTGGGACTCTATTACTGGTGATCTCATACGAGAGCTTAAAGGACATAAGGGGACCATATTGTGTCTGGTGTCTCACAATAGGATCCTGTACTCAGGCAGTGCTGACCACACGGCCCGGGCCTGGGCTATGGAGTACGGGGAATGCACTCGAGTCTACTGGCGGAACACCAGTTCTGTCACATGTGTTCAGTATTACGATGGCATCAGTATGTCATTTATTTGATGACTTCCAAGTTTGACATAACTTTGACCACTAATTCACACACAGTTTATACGGGTGGCAGTGATTGTACGGCCAGACTCTACGACTCGAACTCCGGTGCCCTCAAGAGGACGTGTTTGGGACATATAAATGCCATCTCAGCCCTTAAGGTGAGTGATAAATAATTGACAATTGTAGATTGCCAGGGTGAATGAAGTATTTTTGTTGACCCCATAGGTAGCGCCGGGTAAGATGTTTACGGGCTCTTTTGACGGGAAGGTATGTGTGTGGGACTGCACCGGTATTGTGGCCGACACTGTGTTTGGGAATGTGAACGATGCCAATGAGGATCAAAGTGATAGGGAGGAGAGTATCGATAGTATTAACGTTCAAAATGCTTGCAAAGCACTCGACTCTTACATACGGAGCTTTCGGTAGACCAGACCACGAATGGGAACTCATATGTTAATTATGGGATATATTGTGCCAAACCTTTGCTTACATTTATTTGCATACAACTGCTGTCAAGAATTTCTCAGGAATTTTGTCATTCATTTTTGCGAACAAATTCTAATCATTTAAATGTTTATTTGTATATTATGGGATATATTGTGCCAAACCTTTGCTTACATTTATTTGCATACAACTGCTGTCAAGAATTTCTCAGGAATTTTGTCATTCATTTTTGCGAACAAATTCTAATCATTTAAATGTTTATTTGTATAACTATTTTATATGATAAATAAAAACAATTTATAGATTGTGTTATAATTTAAGTATATATGAACACAGTTTTGAAAGGAGTTTTAAAGATTATTTAAATGAGATCAATAAAATTTGCTTGATAAATACAATATGTTTAATAGATTTTTTTCTAATATACATTATATTTAATTATTACACAACAAAGTTTGCTTGTTTGATAAAGTTATACGGTATAATTATATTATGACTTATACCTAACAATATAATAGACCAATGAAATCGTAATTATTTAGTTAGTGTCACAAAGACTATTGTCAATAGTGCTAACCTTAACATCAATCGATAGGAAAAAACATTTTCAAACATTTAAAGTTTATTAATATTTGGCATTGAATTTGAGAACTTCATAATAAAAAAGTATTTTTAGCCCATTATCTCATAAAAGTGAATAAATGTCGAAAGAAAGTCAGAAATATAATTGCAATTTATTTATACAAAAAGTGTTTAACAAACTTTTTAATTCAAACCACAATTAACATGACAACTTATATTGAACTTGTTAATACTTGATATAAATGGACTATGGTCAGTGAAGTGCTAGTGCCTAAAATAACATTATAAATTCTTTGACTACACGTATTATATGAACACTTGTTATACCAGTTCTATGATATGAATATAAAATTCCCAATTCCTTTATCGTAACAAGGAGGTTTCATGTTTACACTACTGGCCATATAATCAGGTGTCAAGTTATCCATTAAACAAATATCATATTATTTATATGATATTCAATTGCAATCTCACATAATAGTCACCACATCTGCCAATTCAGTGCATACCAGACCTCAATAGACATGAAACCACTCTTTCTATTCCTATTACTCGCCATCTATTCATTCAATGGATGCACTGCTCAGTGGAAAGAGTTTAAGGAGGGAGTACTGGGAACGGGATGTCTCATCACAATCACACCCAAACTCACCAGAGATTGTTTGGACGCTTTTGACAAAGAGCTGGACCGCAGACCCAAAGATGAAAGGGATCAGAAGGTATGTACCAAACCTTATGTCACTTATTCTTGAAGTATCATAAAGTGCGGAAAGACAGTAACGGGAAAACCTTATATGAACGCCTACTAATAAACACTGTTTGTACGGCACCGGTAGGTCCTGTGTTGCGCGTATCTGTCCCTCCAGTCGTGTGTACTGAAGCTGTCGGAGAAGGAGTGCGGAGAAGAGGGAGAATCGGTAGCCAAGAGTTTCCTCAAAACCATAAACCGGAGCATCACTTCCGACGACTGCATTGACTACGGACTCATCACTTGCATTACGATCACACAGATAGCCATCGCGGGGGCCATATTGGGCGCCCTCCTCACCCTCTGCACGTGCATCTGTTGCTGCTGTTGCGGTCGCAGTAAGCGTAGGGGTCGTGTCGTGTGAGACCACCACCACCTCCACACCACTGTCCACTTATGTAATACTAATTATAAGCAATTTTATTAATATTTTTCTCGGATTGTTAACTCATTTTTAAATGTTTTTAGCTTAGCTTTTAATGCAATTATATTTTTTATAACATTAGTGAATGTTTGTGTCTCTCTGTCTATACTCGATTGTACCAGTACAATTTATAATCATACACTGTACTCGGGATATAGTGAATTGCCTTGGTCAACAATGAGCTACATTGGCAATTTACTATATCCACCCTGTTTATAATATGATCAGTCATTTGATGACTAGTGTCTTATTACCGTAATTTACATTTATGTTTATGTTTATTTAAGAGTCTCAAATTTTAATGTTTTTATATGCATTTCTTATAATTCAATACTAACCAAATCAATGAAACAAATTTATGATCAATTCAATGATAATTTTAAATAATGTTTTTATTAAAAAGATACTTAATTGATTCATTATTGTCGATCAATTGACCCGGTACTTTTTTACTGTGTATTTTCAATTTTATAAAGTTTTGAGTTGAATAAAAGTTAAATAAGTATTGAGAAGTCAATAAATTAGAATGGATTATGATAATTGAATTAATTATGTGATATTAGCACAAATTGAATCTATTGTTTTTGATTTAAACACTAGTTTTCATACAGAAATTAGAGGGGAGGGAACAGGGATCAAAATTTTGGTTTTCACTATATAGCTAATGTTCAAGTACAGTACGATTGAAAAATAAAATTATTTAAAAATGGTTAGTTTTAATTTCTAGTGTGGTCTAAATAAGTTGATAATGAAATCATTGTATTTGAAAAGTAGTTGAATCTTATTTTATAATTATCCTGATATTTAAACATACAAATAACAAGTACTTTGTTCTAAGAATAACGATATTCTATTAATACCTTAATTATAAATCTATTTTAATATTTCATTTGAAACTCGTAAGAGATTTGATAGAATATGTTTTAATTAATATAATAATTGACATATATTTAAACTATAACGGAATTATCTTGGTGGTT